ACTATGATGGTTATTTATAATTATCAAAAATCTTTCAAAAATAAGACAAAATTCTTTTTGACATTTGTACAAAAATTCTATCAAACACATACCTACAACCCTCCTCTCCAATCGAGAGTAACTGTTATGGTTCTCTACCATATAAATGAGGGTCTAAGTTAATTATCTTCAAGCCTAGAAACCTTAAATGGTCACAAAAAATAAGATCATTTAATAAATACATATATACCTTGGTTCAAGAGTTCATATGGAAGTCCAAATTCATAAAATACATTAGAAGAATTGTCCTGGGCCTCCTTTTCATACAACTAAAGAACCCCTGAAACTTTTTTTCCATGAGAGGGGTTATGTCAATTCTGGGTTATCACCTATTTATGTCAGCCAATTACAAAGAGAAATAAAACAGCAAAACATCACTGTGCACTGTTTAAGGAATTTTTATTAAAGCAAGAATTTATAATCCAAATTACATTTCCTTGCTCGGTTATCAATTCTGTCATTTAGAACAGAAGTGACATTCTGAGCTATTCCACAGTAAAGAATTATAAAATTAAAGAAAGGAATGCTTTAAATTTTTGTACTTTGCTGAAAATTCTTTTTCCAGAGTCTATAAAACATTAATTTGTTTTTATATTTTACTTTTTTTTTTGGTTTTTTTTTTTAATCAATAAAGTATTCTAGGACTAGCATTTGTTGCTAGACCTGGCATTTGCTCGGTACATAAGGTTCAAAGTTTCCTTTCCTTTTTTTATTTATTTTATATTTTGCAATNCTACGTATTTTTGTGGGATCTTCCCAAAAAATACAAGTTATTCTTGACTTCCAATGTGAAAAAAAGCCTTTTCTCTACAAAAAGAATGTGTTTAGGTAATGAATATCCCATGTCGTTTCAAATTTTTTAGGGATATTATCAGTAACAAAGTCAATAGTGTATTTTTCTACATTTGTAGATTAAGACAATCTCCCTCACCCCAAAACATCTGCCATGATTGTGATAAAGTTTATAAATAAGATCAATAACTGAAATTTGAAATTATGGATATTGAGCACTTGCAACTATATGGTTGAGAGGACACAGCAACGTTTGAGATGTATCAAAGCGGTAACTAAGAACCCCTAACTCTAACCAATTAATTACCTAACTTAAGATAGGTTATATTTACATAAGACAGTCTACATGAAGCCTAGAAAAAAGGAGATAGTATCTCCTCTGTATAGCTTTGGCATCATCCAAGGGTGTGCCCACCCTGACTGGAAGACTCCAGGATGTCATGATGGTTTAGTCTCCTAGCAGAGTTGTGTGCATCAGTCTACAAGGGTTTGACAGTACCGGCCAGGATTGACTTAACTCCACAACTTTTGCTTCCAAATTGAACCAAACTTCTGATTTTACTTTGTTCCCATGAGAACCGGTCTATAAGGAGGATGTAGTCATTCAACATAAGTATCCAGGTCCTCTTCAACGTAATTTTCTCAGTGTAGGTAAATAATCTGGGACCAAGGTTTTATATCACGAGTAAGTTTCAAAGTACTCCAAAATGTCACTCGTGAGTCCATTAGAGTCAGGAAAGAAAAAAGTAGAGATAGTACACTGTAAATAAGATACATTATCTTTAGTTTATTTTATCCAACTTAAGTCTTAGTGTCATGGTGAAATGGACTAAAACAGGTTCTAGGCTAAAAGTTTTCAATTAGCTATTGTACATCTCGTACAGGAAAATGTCTATCAATTTAGTCTCAAAACCTACATTAGAAGCAACCATATATATGCTTTAGAAAGCTCTGTGGTAGCAAAATATCAACTGTTTAACTCTGCTTCACTTCAAATCCTACATTAAACCAGGTGGATTATTGTAAATTACTTTTGCAGATTATGAGCCACACATTTTTTAGATACTGCTTATCAGTTGTTAACTAGTTAAGTTTGTCACTAACACTAAGCTAGCAAATATCAAAATCGCCATCCCTAGGCCAAGCACAGGGTTAGGTACCTGTGAACCTGTCACATTTTCACCAATTGATACATAATCTTGTTTTATGTTTAAAGACACCGTATTTAATATAGATTGATCAGCACTGAGTTCACAGCCAACAGCTCTGTAACTTACACCTGAATGAAGTTTATCTAGTATTATTTCCTCCAAAAGGCTCATCATAGCCTTGTGCTTAGGAACACCAGACAGCAATTCAAAAGTACACTTGGGAGCCATTTAAACAGCAGTATCATCAGCAAACAGCACAAAAATGTCAACCTGGCACCGAACACACCTCGAAAAGGACACTTTCTAGTATGAGCTGGAACAGTTAAGGCAGACTTGACCTCAGCTGAGAATGTGTTTCAGGTGACTCAAAATTTTTCAAAGCTTGGTGCATGCTTACACATGACTGTGAAAGCACACAGATTTGGGGATTATTAACTTGTAGTTGAGTAAATTAATGTGTATCATCAAATACTAAGACTGTTATTTTTCCCTAATGTTTCTACAAGCTGATCACAAAGATCTACATCTTAGTTTGGTTCTTTTCAACAGTCATGGAAGTTTGCCACATCTAAGAAAGTCATTTCAAGAACAGATTTATCTATCACATTAGAATTATCAAATTCATAAAAAGCTAGTTGGTGTAAACCTTATCTACACATCTAGAATTTGGAATATTGTAATTTTATACTGTAACTAGTGTCTCAAAAC